CACACGTGGTTACGTTTAGCCGACGCACACAGGTGGTTACGTTTAGCCAACACACACACATGGTTACGTTTAGCCAACACACACACATGGTTACGTTTAGCCAACACACACACATGGTTACATTTAGCCAACACACACACATGGTTACGTTTAGCCGACGCACACACATGGTTGGATTTAGGAAAAAAGAACAGGGTTTGTCTTTACAATCTCACAGGAAGTGAACATCGGCCTCCTGGGTGAAAGTCAGACAAACATTATTTGTAGGTCTATGGATGCAAACTCAGTTTCACATTTGAAAGCTTGATTCTCTGTTCACCCATCCACCACTTCACCCTCCACATCCTTACTTTACATCTTTCCATATGAAGGAAACATGACTTTTTCTGCATGTCAGATTCATTCAAAATAAACATAATTCCTGATGTTTTCTTTTCTTTCCTTTGTTTACCTCTTTGTTCACATCACTTTCCTCCCTCCTTCCCACACATCCCTTACTCCCATCCATCTCCATTTCACTCATCCACATCTTAACTCCATCTTTCTCCAAGTCTCTGTTTACCTTTCTCCCCCTCCGAGCCTCTCTCCTCTCTCCCCTCCACCAGACCCATGTGGAGCAGGACTCCTCTGTGGAGGCTCATTATTGCCATTAGGAGGTCATTACTGAAGCCCTGAGGAATGTTTCAGACCACAGCAGGAGCAGTGCATTCAGGTGTAGCCTCCCCCTGAACCCCTGACCTGGAAAAGCTCTGCACCCTGACACAGGTACCACAACACCACCACTGACTCATCCCTACATGTTACATGTACACACTCACACCGTATCATCTCATCTCCATGTTCTCTCATGTTCCTACGGTCTTTATCTGACCTCTCGGGGGACTTGTCCTATTTCGTCTGTGCTTTCAGGCACTTTGGGAAAGGACACGCAGTCTTCGTGTCCCTGGCACAGCCGACTGGTGGCTGCTGCCAGAATCCTTCCATGAAACAGAGACGCCAAACAGGAACAGGTTCAGTCTCATGGGTCCCGCTGGCCTTTGCAAAAGGACAGTTTCTACTTGACCACAGAGGTGACATTTTCTAAATGTTAAGATCAGGTTACAAGGAAACGCTGCTTAAAGGTGGCCATTAGAGACGTAACGACACAGAGTGACACACGAGACAGAGTTCACAGTTTGATACACTTAAAATGTTTTCAACTAAGTCTGAATGAAAGCAAAGTGTGACGGCAAGAATAAATACTTCGAACCATTTTAGTTTTTAATAGTTTCTATTTGTAAAATGATGATTTGAGACTCTTGAAAATTGTCTCTACATTAAGGTTCATTTGTGAACTTAGTTTAAATGGGGCTGAAGAATGAAAACACATTTAAGGACGTCCCCAGGATGTCCTTAAACAGGTTAAACTTGGGCTGGGCGATATAGCCTATAAATAATATTGCAATATTTTGAGGCTATATCATGGTACAGGACATAAATCACGATATTTAGAAATCTCTTGTAAACTACTGTTGACTACTAAAACACAAAACTACTTAAACTACTATTACAATAAAGCAATGATAATAAAATAAAGTACTGTTACAATTAAGCTAGAAAAACTATTCTCATGATAAAGTTATAGTACTGTTATATAAAAGGTAAATAAAGTTAACTAAAGTACCGTTATATTGAAGTTAAATTAAGTAACGTCATAATAACAATAAATAAATGTTAAACTATTACAGCGGTGCCATTAAACTGAGGATTTACTCAACAGTCGCACTGTGTATCCTGCACCACCTTGAATGCTCACACACTATCGAGGAGACAGTGGTCTTGTGTCAGTGTGCGTCAGATGCTTAAAAAATGACATGACAGTTTATATTTGATGTTTGATGCCTTCATTTTGTAAATCGTGGAACAAGCCGCGATACATCAGGTATAATCGATATATATATATATATCGCTCACTGCTAGATTAAGCTGATGGCAACAGGTTAGTGAAGATGGCAGACGCAGCAGCTCTTGGCTCTCCTAATTTCGTTGTACTTGTTCCTGAATTCGTAGTACTTGTACAGCGACAAAGGCTTTCTATTCAAATTTTGTCTTTAAAGATGCCAGTTTTATATTTCAGATTTAAAAAAATGAAAATAAAATCAGTGTCAAAATTTTCAGGCTGCAGCTGAGACTTTATTATTATTTATATAATTTATTATTTATACTTTTAGAGTTTATAGTGTTAATACTGATGTAATTTCACAGCCTCTGGTTTGTGTAAATGAAGGAAATTAGAGAATTGAAAAAAATGAATAGACCCTCAATTCAGATAATGAAACTCTTTAACTTCTATTAGTTAGAACTGAAACTAAACCTGAATAGATGGAGTGAGGGGATTTGAGAAGAAAGCAGATTTAACGTTGGATTACGATTCAATAAAACGGTCAAACCCAACTTCAGTGTCCTCGTGTGGCTGAGGAGATAAATACAGCAGGATCAAGAACTGCAGCTTTAAGCTGGATGCCAGGGCACAGACGTCCTGATGCCGCACACACACACACACACACACACACACACACACACACACACACACACACACACACACACACACACACACACACTGGGCACCATGCTTATTAACGACTGCCTGATTGATCCCATTAGAATCAATGTCTGTCTCCCTGACATGTAGCTGCATCGAGACACCAAACACGGGGATGATAGGGATCTTTAAGGGTACTTACTGTCCAGCACATCGGACTGTCACACAGACGGCTTCATTTCTCTGCAGTACGATACACACAGTTCCCACAGCGTCCTCTTTCAGGAGCCAGAACACGACATGAGCCCAACAGGAACACAGACTTTTGTCCAAAATGTTCGACTTCTGCCTCGTTACAACTGATGACAAACAGTAAAGCAAACAGAGCTGCAGAAAGCGAGATGTCATCATAAATCACTCTTTTACATTTACTTTCCACTCCTTTTATTTAGCCTTTTATTTTTGTTTGTTTACTTGGCTTGTCTCTAACTTTTCTTTCTTCTCCTCCACTCCTCCTTTTATCTCATGCCTCATCCATCCAAAGTTCCTGGGAGTCGGTAACTAAACTGACTCAGGGATTAAAGACGAATCGAGGTCAGGATCGAGGCCACAGACAATCTGAGGTCCACACCCTCGTTTATTTCTGTCTGATCGCATTAGAATCAGAAAATATCTCCTGAGCATCAAACTGACATCCAGACCAAAACCACTGTTTGAACCACGTGGATGATCTGTGTCCAATTGGATATTTAAAATCCTTCAAAAAAACCTGAACCATCGCCTTCAACAACGTCAGTGCCAACATTTAAAATTCATACATGCAACTAATGCCTGCCGTACACCACAAGACTTGGACAAAACTTTTAACAGACTCAAGTGTGACATGTAAAGACAGTGTGTGTTTTCAGTAACACACTGTAAGATTTTTGCATGATCTTACAGAGTCATTAACTGCAAGACTACAACTAGATTCTTTTTGAGATCCTGCTCTTGGTGCTGAACATTACACCAAACTCCTTTTTAAGAAATATGACGTATTAAGAACTCCTTACGTGTCCACAAAAACACTTAACTGTAGAGACACGAGATAAAAGGCTTCATATGTCAACAGAATTCTTGTCAATTCAGCACCATTTTTATCCATAAAGAGAAACAGTATTTTTTGGATTTTGTTGCTTCAACTCGCTGCTATTTTAGTGGCTGCATGAATGAGAGGGGTGCTGAGGACAGAAGACAGCTGGACCATGTGGTGCGTACTGCTTCAAGAATTACTGGACCACCATTATCAGAAATCTACAAAAGAAGATCCTTAAAGTTTTAAAGACACGTCTGACCCGACGAACAACCTTTTTAATTTCCTTCCTTCTTACAAAAGATTAAGAAGCATTAAGAGCAGAACATCCAGGTTCCAATAACGGCACATATCCTGAAGCTGACGCTGTCCGCCTCCTTAACGTTACAAAC